TAAGCATGGCATGCGTAGCTCCTCGTTACTGGAGTTGTTCTCCCAAGGACGCACTCTCTGGCAGTCTTTGACTACGGTAGCCGACTGTGCTCACGGACGTAAAGATACTGTCTACGGAATGCCAAGGGGAACCTGGAGGCTCGGTCACTGCTTTGAAGGGCGAGAGAGTCCAGGCTATCCCGGGGCAGCCTATAGCAGGGTGTGGTCTGGGGGGGTTGGGTGGGGCTGCACCCTCTCAACGCTTCTGTGTTCCTTATTACTGGGAAAGAAGACGTCCCTCCCGTCTCTTGGCTCCGAGGGTCTCACCAGATCCTGTCCAGCGAGGAAAAGAGGAACACGGGAGTTCTGGCCTTAGAAGGTGGGAGAAGACTCCTCAGGGGCTAGTCCCGCAATGCTCACCTCCGCCCCACCCCTGGGTCTGTGGGCGGGGCCTCCTGAGAGCAGACTATGCCGCAGAGACACACAAGGCTTCTCCATCTATCACCTCGTCTGCTGACCCTCACTGCAAGTTACTGTTGACTGCAGTCAGAGGCAGGACAAGCATGTCGCTGCTTTTGTCCCTGTCCCAACGCTGCCCACTTAGCCGTAACGCAGGACCGACCAGATTGTAAGAGAAGACTAAGTCTGATCTGGCCTTGACCTTCACACCAAAGGCAGCATCTTTGGGAAACCTCTAAAAGCTGAGGGATGCCACGTGCGGGGAGGCGTTTGGAGAAGGATGGGACTGCTGCCGTGAGCTGTGACAGCAGCCTTAGATGAGGCCGAAAGGCCATGCAAAGACAGCGCCCATCTCTTTCTTGAAGGGCCAGCTTGCAGGTGACCTCAGACTTGACATTCAAGGACTCCAAGATTTATACTTTTTATTTTCCCAGACAGGGTTTCTCTGTATTGTTTTGGAGGCTGTCCTGGAACTCGCTCTTGTAGACCAGGCTGGCCTCGAACTCACAGAGATCCGCCTGCCTCTGCCTCCCAGGGGCTGGGATTAAAGGCGTGCACCACCAACGCCTGACTCACATTTATACTTTTGAGACTGCTGTCAAAGGAGGATTTTTGTCAAACTCCCAGAGGCCGAAGTAAATGCTCCCTTCCTTTCATTGTGTTTGCCAAGGTGTTCTATCACAGAGACTAAGACACAGGGCTGTACATATACAGAGTGCTCTCCAGAGCGGGAACTGTTCCTAACCCCCTGCAGTGTCTCTGGGTGTTGAACTGTGTGAGCCTCGGGCAAGTTCTTAAACAGCTGTAATGCAGATTCACCATTGGAGAAGCAGAGGAATAAGACTTAGCTTATACTTGGCCATTTCGTATGTATAAAGCACCTACTGCGTGATGGGCGTCAAACAACCTGTTCTACGACTCACTAGGAAAAGAGCCTGTTGGCACATTTAAATCAGGGCTGGGCTGTGGTGGGGCCCTGCCTCAGCTTGTACGGAGGCCCTGAGTTCCATTCTCCTAACTGCAGAAATAAAAATGAAACAAAATAAAACTCAGAGAAACTGAGGCCACGAGAGAAGAAACCGTCGGTTTTGCCAGAGCACCGGGGTTGGGTTCTGGGATCCGCAACTCTTTCCGTCACTCATTCAGAACAACTGCAGCCGTTCAGAGGCTCTCGTGTGACATGTGTCATGATTAAAGCAGGGCCGTTGACTGCCACCCCCCCCCTTATCATTTCCTTGAGAGAACACCGGCAGAGGGCAGAGTTTTAGGGGGCAGGGCGTAGGAGTGAGGGGGGTGCGTTCAGGGTAACTTTCTTGCTGCAAGCTCAAAGATGCAGACTGTGAACACTCCTAAGAGTCACAGCTCTGGCTGGAAGGAAAGGATGGGTGCCGATGACACCCTGTCAGAAACCTTCCTTGTGAAAGCGGAAGCAATTCTTTTAGCTGCCTTTATATAACGGAGACTCCCTTAGATGGTCTCTGATTGTCCCCTTTCTGAGGGTCAGGGAATCAAAGCAATGGCCTTTGCTTGGCGTGGAGCAGAGCAATCCGATCTGATGTTTCCCATGTGGATCTCCTTTTTAAAAAATCCCACCACAAGTCGCAGAAAGGGTCTAAGCACCCGGATCCACGCCCCCACCCCATATTTCCTTTCATATCTGTCTGCATGTACACATGTTTTTCTCTCTCGAGGTGGTGTGCATGGCCCGTGGCCTGCTTTCTTTCTGTTTAGTATAAAATATTTTTGCTCCCCTGGAATATTCCTCTTATCTTCCACAAATGCCAAATGCTCCATTGAAGAGTCAGTCACTGGGGAATTGCTACGCTTCGGCAAGCGCGTAGACGGCACTGTAACGGCAGCCTCTGTGTGTAGACCGTTCTGGATCCATCAGGGGGCTCTCCTGCGTTTCAGAGGTTCCCCCCCTGACTTTTCCCGTTCTTTCTCCCCCACTCCTTCATTTCTCCATACGCATTTTCTTCCCTCTAAACACTCCTGTAGACACCTTGAACTCTCCTTTAAACTCATGGCCTCTTTTTAAACGGATTATTTCATCAGCGTAAATCTTTTCTCCCTTTATTGAATATATTTATATGTATATATATACATATATATATCTTTTTTCTCAAATAATATATCCTGATTATGGTCCCCCCCACACACATTCCTCCCCTTCCATCCGGGATAACCCCCTTTTCTGTGTCTTACTAGAAAACAAGCAGCGTTCTAAGGGATGATTAACAAAATAAGGCAGGACAAAAACTAACGTCTTGGAATAGGACAAAGCAAACTAAAGGAAAAGAGCTGAAGAGAAGCCGTAAGTAGCAGATATAGATGCAGAGACCCACTTAGTCACACATTCAGGAATCCCATAAGAACACTAAACTTAAAGCCGTATGCACACACATACACACACACACACGCACAGTGTGTAAAGGACCTATAAGGGACCTATAGGGTAAAAAGCGTTCAGCCTACCCTCAAGAGGACTTTGTTTCTCCAGTTAGACTCCCATGGAGAAAACTGAATTTTCACTGGCAGGCGGTTATCAATTGGAGATTGCTTCTGGGTAGGGGTGGGGCCTGTGTCCCCTTCTCCCTTCAGCTCCCTGGGACACCATCTGGTGCAAGTACACACAGGGTTCAGCATGCATTGTTAACCCCTTCACCTTGTCGGATGGCAACGGCAACCTCGCCAACGCATCGGTCAGCGCACTTTTTTTCTGGACTGCCGAACTTCGTCTATTTTGCAATATAAGCAAAGTCTTTACAGAAATGTCCGGCTTAAGCGTCTTTGAGAACACCAAGTGAGTAAGATCCAAACTTGAACGGTATGGAGGGCAGATCTAGAAGACCTCACGAGAGAGAAGATGCTCTTGGTCCTTTCATTCATCCCACCGAAAGGCAGAAAGGCAGAGCTGTGTCGTCTGCCCTGTGATCTTCTGAAGTAGCCCTCAGAAGTGGCTTTTACGGCTTGCCTCCCCTTTGCCTCCTCTGTTCCTGCTCTTTCACGACAGCGCCTTGCTGCTGCTTAAACTGCTTTTTTTAAAGCTTGTTTTTAAGTTTGACTTTGATAGATTTTATTAAGTGGTAAGAGCTTGAGATCTGTTTTTCCTTCTTTTCTTTTTGCTTTTTAGTTTGTTTGTTTCTGGCCTCCATTCCTAGGCTGCAAGAAACCCTCATCTGACAGGCTCACCTGGGACGAGGGTCCCCTTGGAGTGCTGGAAAGGGCCAGTCCAAGAGCATCCTACTGTAAGAACCACAGAACTGTGGCCATAAATCTTAGGAAGGTGGCATTCAGGTTGTGGGAATATTTGACACACACTGTAAGAGTCACAAGAAGACACTCAAACCCAAAGTCTGGCCTTCCTCTAAGTTGTTTCCTTGTTGTTGATTGTTTGCTTTCTTTTTAATCTTTTATCATCAATTTATATCCTATCCTAACTCAGGCTATGGGTATTCATTTTCCACTCAATAATCGAACCCTTGAAAGAGCGCTTCCCTCCTCAGTATACAAAGCTATGGTTATATTTGTATTTCCTTCTATTCGGCAGCGAAATGTTCTGTCACCTGTAAGAGCCTTTTGTTGTAGCATGTAAGTAACATCTGACCCAGCAATTTTATCCCTGGGCTGATACAATGGAGAAGCATTCGCATAGCGGATATAAAACACTCTTTCCACCAAGCGGTGGTGGCGCACGCCTTTAATCCCAGCACTCAGGAGGCAGAGTCAGGTGGATCTCACTGAGTTCATGGCCAGCCTGGTCTACAAAGTGAGTTCCAGGACAGCCAGGACTGTTACACAGAGAAACCCTGTTTAGAAAAAACCCAAACCAAATCAAAACAAAAGAAACATTCTTTCCGAAAAATGTCGTGCGAGGTAATCTGTCAGTTAACTAGCTATTTAGACAGTCCAAAGTGTGCATCAAAATAGCAAGTTGTCCACAGCAAATACACCGTTTTATCTGTCAATGTAAAAAGCAAAATTAAAATAAGCTACTGGGTTTGGTAGTAACTATGCAAACGTGCAATACAAAATGATTATTTTAATACATGTATTCCAATTGTTCTCAAATGTCTGATTTTGCCATTCACAGGGAAGTTTTTCAAAATATATTTCTTTCCTTCATAGCTAGCTAGTAAATTCATTTTAGTAAGTAAGTTCTCCCTGGAAGGGCAGGAGTAAAAATGGGTCAACTAAGCCTCACCTGTGTCTGTCAGGGTCAACACCCTGCAGGGCCAGCATGCCCATCTGCGTTCAGAATGTCTTCTGCCTTAAAAGGAGGGGATGTGCTCTCCTTTGAAATACTTTTTTAAGTCTCAACATGACAGGCAATGCCCTTTCCCAGTCTACCTTCATCCGTTACATTAAAGATGTGTCTCTTGGGTTTTCCAGAATATAGTAACTTTGTAATAAAATGTGAGCGGTCTGTTCTGTTCTGTTTTGGAAGCTCCTGGTACCGTAATGAAACCCCGCCTGGCTGAATTTTCTCCTAAATCAGCGCTCTTGTAACATTCTCTATTCTCCGGTGATGATCTGAGCTTGTTCTGGTTTTGCAAACGCAGGAGGATCTCAGCCCAGACTCACCATCAGGCCGTTAACTTCAACATCTTCGAGGGCATGGTTTGCCACGGGGTGCCCCTGGTGACGATCTCTAGAGGCAGAGTGGTGTATGAAGCAGGCGTTTTCAGCGTCGCAGCAGGAGATGGGAAGTTCATCCCCCGCAAACCGTTTGCTGAGTACATCTACAACCGAATCAAGCAGCGAGACCAGGTGAGCCAGCCCCACCGCAGTGACCGGCGGCGCCCTTTAGCCTCCCTGGGTAGCAGGTTTGTGATTTATTTTTCCTTATGGTGGCATCATGTCACAGTGGGTTCAACATGCTCCTGTTCTAGCCGGAGGCTTGCAGATGTGTCTCCTACAGGTTGCTTGAATCCCTGGACCCTCCCCAGGGTAGGGACCTGTTATTCACCTTTGTGGCAGTCAGGTTCTTCCAAGAATCAGGCCACAGGGATCCAGGCACTTAGGGGGTGGGGATTGTTGGAGACACGTGTGATAGGAAAAGGGAGCTGTGAAACACTGGGAGCCAAGAGATTGCAGTTGAGGAGCGATCTGAGAGAGGTAAGAAGATGGGAAAGTGAGGGACCAGGTGTGGATGGCTGTAGGACAGACCGGGCTGGGCTCTGTTTGGGGACAACTGAATCACCTCTCAGGCTCCTAGCTCCAGATGGCGCCCCCAGTCACTGGCTGGAGCTACTGCGAGGGGCGTGGCCTGTCTGCACACCCTTGGGGACCTTAACTCAGCTTGAGAAACTGAGCTCTCTTGAGCTAAAAATCTGCAAGGTGCTTTCTCAGGGTAATCACGAGAGGTAGAGTTTTGGGGAAGGGAGATCTGAGATGAATCCTCCCCATTGCCTAGGGGTGTGACCAGAGCAAGTTCCTCGACGTCTTTGGGCTCCGCTTTCTCACCTGAAAATTAAACATTTCCACCCTCAGATAAGATTTTTTTTAATGTCAGAATTAATCCATGCCGATCCCGTCTCTTTGCTTTCCCATAACTGATTCTGTAACGAAGGCCCACAGTCTTTGTAACAACTCAGTGACAAGCAAGAAGCAGGTGGATCTCTGTGAGTTCGAGGCCAGCCTGGTCTACAGAGCGAGTTCCAGGACAGCGTCCAAAGCTACACAGAGAAACCCTGTCTTGAGAAAACAACAACAAAAAGGGTTATTTGTTTTTATTTCATCTTGAATTTTCATATTTTGTTTGTACAACAATTTAAATATTTTTTAATTTCACCAAATGCACTAAAATATTGTTTAAAAAAAGGCTAGGTGAAAAAATTTAGATTTCTTTATTTTGAGGGTGAGTTTCTGCTAATGAAGCCTCCCAAGACTGTCTGACTGGCCTCTCTTTTCCCAGCAGGGTCACTCATGCTCACCCCCCACAGGGTCTTTGTAACACATGGATTCCTTCCGGAACTTACTCCTCTGTCCACCTTTCAAATGTGTATTTCCTTCCAGAATTCTCTAGTTGTTTTTAATTTAAGTTCTTATGGCCTCTTTGGTTTGTAACATCTTGTGAATTTATTTGCAGATTTCCAAGAGGCCATTATACAAAGTACCTCCAAATTTCAAATAATTTCCTAAGGTTTTGCTTAGGTAAACCAGTACTCTTAAATACTTTAAATTCCTCCCAACCATCGAAAATCTATTTTTATCTCCCCCCCCCCCGTTTTTTTTCTTTCCATGGTGGGTGACACCCAGAACAGATCCTAAGCCTACATCTCCTGCTGGGCCAAACCCTGGCCCTAGAGTTCTTTGTACAGTGTATCTCAGTCAACAGGGATGGTGTTTAATATGGAGTTGAGTTTGCTGTGGGACTCATTTAGAAATGCCAACACTGACAGCAAGGATCCCAGGTGTTTCTGCTGGTCTGTGCCATAAGTAGAAGCAGTTCTAACACTAACAAGTGTTCCTGAAGACACACCCCACCGTTGTGGGATTTCCCTCCCTGTTCCGCAGCCACCTTGCCCCAAATGAACACACAGACGCCATAATAGTTATGAAGAACTAGGGCTTCTTATTGGCTAGCTCTGTCTTAATTATTAACCCATTTCTATTAATCTAAGTATTTCCACATGGCCTTATCTTACTGGAGAAGGGTCTGGACCTCTGACTCCCTTGGCAGCTACATGTCAACTCCTCTCTGCCTACACTTCCCAGAATTCTCCTCGTCTCCTAGCCCTGCCTATCTTCCTGTTTGGCCAATCAGTGTTTTATTCATCAGCCAATAAGAGAAACACATACAGAATAGCATCTCCCATCACCACACTGCTAAGGACCAACTGCGACAGCACAGTCAGGCAAGGGTGGTGGCTTTCCCTCATTTTAAAGATCAGGAACCTGAATATTCAAGGAACCAAGGGGCTAAGAGAGAAGTCTCAGATGTTAAGAGCATTTGCTGACCTTCCAGAAGACCCCAGTTCTGTTCCCAACAGCCTCTCTCATCAGGTGACTGGTGACCTCCTGCACCCTCAACAGTAAAGGACCCAATACCGTCCACCGGCACCTCCACCCATGTGACATACACAAGATAAAAATAAGTGCCTTTAAAAATAAACAAGTATTAGGGCTTGAGAGATGGCAGAACAGACAAGTGCACCTAATGCTCTTTCAGATGACCCTGGTTCAGGGTTTTAGACCCAGCACCTACACGGTGGCTCATAGCCAACTATAACTCCAGTTCCAAGGGATCAGATCCATTCTACTGGCCTTCCTGGGCCCAGACACATATGCAGGCAAACCATTTATACACATAAAACATCTTTGAAAAATCAAATACAAAGTACAAGACCATAAATATAAAGGGATGCGGAAACAATATTTTAAATATTTTTTGAATATAGGTAACTAATCTTTCCAAGAACTTTTAAAATAAGAAGATGAGGCACTAAAACATCCTTAAAATTTACATTTAAAAGTCATTCGAGGAAGAGTTTTAACAGGAAGGAAAGAGGAATGAAGACAGTAACAGAAATTTAGATATTTCAAGTTTCCTGAATGAACAGATGCCATGTTATTAATTCCTTACCAAACACAGAAGAAAGCTCTTTAATTTCAAATGGATTTTACCCCTGGAAGTTTTGTGTATTTAGAGCACTATAATTTTCAACAAGGATTGAAAATATGAGCCTTCCCTAAGCTATTCTCAAAGCCCTTCTTTCTTTCCTGTCTTCGGTATTAAGCAACTGCAATTCTGTCAGGAGAAGACGGTCACATTGCAGTTTATAGAGAAATCAGAACAGCTTCCCGGAGAAGAGATGTACGGCTCCAGGACACTGCTGCCAAAGCTCTTGTATCTTTGCAGCGATAACCATAATATTCCTTCTAGATAAGAGAAAATCGAGGGGATGACTTGGACTCAGTCCTTGGAATGGGTGTTTTTCCATCATCTCCAGCATTACAGTTTGTCAATGCCTTTCTCAAGGTGGCAGTGTGAGAGTCACTTAACTCAGGTCACCAACTGCCATACAGTCCTGATCCATGGGATTGACGGCTAATGTCAAGCAAAGGCTAGGTGTATGCTGGGACCTGTGCACATATCTATCCACGCCCTCCTTCACGTCAGCTGGAAGCTTGTCAGCAGATATAAGCCTTATGCAAGCCCAGAATCTGAACCCCAAATCACCAAGAGACCCGTTCCGACACAAAAGCAAAGAGTCTTTTATTGTTGCTTAGCGAGCTAACTGCATTAACTCAGGCCCTTCGTCTGTTCATTGTGTCAGACGGCGGGAGAAGGACCCCCGAGAAACCCTGAACCTAATTGGGCAGAGTAAGGGGAGTGTCTAGGGGGTCCGCCACAGTCTCAGGATTAGTGAGCTTCCGGGCTTGGGCGGTCCATCCTGTGTTGATTGGTCAACTGGTTGCTATGGCTCATAGGCCCTCCCAGGGCGGTTGCCATGCTCTGAATGTCACTGTTGGGCACTGGTTCCTAAAGCAAAGTCCCGCCAGCTGATTGGTTTCTTTCGAGGAGGGCATCTGATCTCCTAGTAACTAGGGCAGGCCCAGCAAGCTCAGACACGTGCTGAGTCAGAGGCCTATGAGTCTTTTCTGCAGCCTGTGATGGCGGCTGAAGCAGGGGGCTGGGTGGGGGGCTGGGTGGGGGGCTGGGTGGGGGGCTGGTCCCTTCAGTAAGGGCACATTGGCTTCGCAGAGGCAGGCAAGTGCCGCAACTCAGATGTTAAGTACGGAGAGAAAAGAAGAAGAACCCTTGCTGTTAACTATTTTCCAGACCATTGCTGCTTGCTGGAAGGAGACTGTCTCTGAAACCCGAGATCGTTCCAGAATCTGAAACAACTAGGACATTTCAAATGCCAAATTTCATAGCTAGAGTGCCCAACCAAAATACTTCAAAACATAAAAATTGTCTAGTCTCCAGGGGCAACTCAACCTGTGCTAATTCTTTGCCACATCTAACCATTCAACATTGTTCGGCCGGTAATATTTATTGAGCATCAATTGGGTGCCATAGTTTAATTCTTACAACCCCGAAGATGAGTGGTGGTGGTCCTATGTTACAGATTAAGAGAAGGAGGCTCAGCACATGCCTTTAATCCCAGCACTCGGGAGGCAGAGGTAGGCAGATCTCTGTGAGTTCGAGGCCAGCCTGGTCTACACAGCGAGTTCCAGGACAGGCTCCAAAAGCCACAGAGAAACCGTGTCTCGAAAAACCAAAAAAAAAAAAAAAAAAAAAAAAAAAAAAAGAGAGAGAGAGAGAGACAGAGAGACAGAGAGGGAGGCTGGCAGTTACGCATATTAATCATAAAGTTTCAACCCTATTGAGTGTATAGCTCCTCCTCCTATGTCTCAAATGGGTTCTCAGTCGTCCATCTGTAGTGTGTAGGGTCTCAGAGGAAGCCGGGCGGTTGAAGACAGGGTTTAAATGAGTCCCCCAGACCCAAGATAAATGATCAATAGGTATTTATCAGGGAAGCACTTACACAGATAAGAGTAAATAACTGCCACAGTCTTCCTGCCCCAGAATATGCAGTCTCTGCCCTTCTAATGCTCTCTGAAAACCAAGAGAGGCAAGTCAGTCCTTCCTCTACCTTATAATGGGTCAAGTCTGCACCTGAAACCACGCCCAAAGGGTGTGGCCACCACCACAAGTTCACTGGCAAGGCAAGATGCCACTTCTGGCCGGTGGTGGCACACACATTTAATCCTGGCACTTGGGAGGCAGAGGCAGGCAGATCTCTGTGAGTTCAATACCAGCCTGGTCTACAGAGTGAGTTCCAGGACAGCCTCCAAAGCTACACAGGGAAACCCTGTCTCAGGAGAAAACAAAACAAGAAAACAAAACAAAAAAACAGAGGAGCCAGCCCCGGAAGTAAGAGCATTCAATGTTGTTGCTCTGTCTTTGGGCAATAGCTCACAGCATATTTTAAGAATGATAACATGTATCTGTTTTCATTGTTGAACCCTCTCTCTTCTGTTGAACCCAGGAGCTGTTCACATTGTAGTGACTCACTGGGAACCACTGGGTAGCTCAGCTTGGTGTGTCCGAAACCCTCTGGCTTCCCCAGGGGTTGGATTTCATCCTCAGGCAGCTGTCATTCATTCTGCCCGCTTGAGGTCAGGCCAGCGTATGCTGCTTGGCATTTGGAGTTTCTGTTGTTTTTATGGATGTTTGAGTGTCTTGGTCCCACGGGGGAGGAGGAGGGGCATGGTATCAGTTATTCCATTGAAGTCTAGGGAGGCTTCTCTATTGTTCACGATACTTTCAGAAATCCTATCACCTCCCATTCCACCCTCAGTAGACAATGCAGCCGCATTTTCTACCAATTTACTCGCTCCTCTTCCCCCGATCACCTAACCGAAACGCATGTCTGTAATTATGTAGATATGACGATGATTGAAATGAATGTTTATTCATAGCACTGCATAGAATTCTCATTTTGTCTTTCTACTAACACGTCGCAATGACAATCCTAATTAAATATGATGAACTCAAATTGAACTCTCATCTGCTAAAGCAATCTGCCCATATTCTGTCAAGCGAGGGCTATTTTTGCTTTCTGTGCCACTTAGGGCAGTCTTTCACACGTATTTACCTCCAAGCCATCTTATGTGATTATCACTGTTCAGATGGAAACCACTGTTGCTGAGGTGTGATGGCCAAACCTTGACTAGGGTGTGCTGGAGAGGCAGCATGACCCGTGCCAGATGTGTCCAGAGCGCCCCCGGCGTCTTGAGACTCAACTTGAGAGAGCTGATGAATAATTTCAAATAATGTTGCTCTCAACAGAATAATGAAAAGTTCCCAGAAGCCCAGTCCCCAAGCATCCTCCCCTCACTTCACAAACACTTGTTTATTATCAGGCATGATCCTAGGTACTAGGATACAGGGACCAGTAAGCCAGCAGTCACTGATGCCAAAGGATTCATATCCTGCATCATTCAACTCTAGCTCCTAGTGTGTGCCCAAGTCTTCGTTCATGACCCACTTTCCCCCACCTCTTCGCTGTGGTCTTCCAGCTATTTTTACGGGGAAATCTAGAATGGAAGAGATAGAGGCTGGAGACCAAGTTAAGAGTCATCAAATATAGATTTAAATTCCCAGGTCCAGGGTCACCAAGGCAACTGTCGGACACAGAGAAAAGTACTCAGGGACCCCAACCTTCAGAGATCAAGGTCAAGAGAAAACAGCCAGAGAGCTGGAGAAATCTGGCCAGTGAGGCAGAGCAGAGAACAAGAGTCGCTGAGGTGGGAGTTTGATCCCACTACTGGGTTCAACCCGGATCATCTCAGCCCTCACCTAGGCCCATGGGTTTTACGTTGCACTAAAAAATCTGCTGAGAATTAAGTCTGCTGGCATCCTTTAGGTAGAGAAATTGGGGTGGAGTCTGTGAGCCAATAGCATAATCTCTGAACATTGAACCCCAGATCCTGCTGTATCTGGGTCTGTGTCATATTGGCACTTCCTACTTCACAATGGAGGAAAGGGTGGAGACTCGATTTCCTAACGGTGGTAGGTGGCTACGTTTACTTAGAAAACGGATGTCCCCTGGGCTTCTGACAGCACGCTGTCGGTGGGTTCTGCAGGGCGAGCGCCATTTTGTCTTCGAGGCTCCAAGATGCACACAGAGTAGGAGCCAGGGACAGCACAGAGATGGATACGACTCGAGTCTAGTCAGGGCAGAGCTTCTACAACCCAGCTCTACGGAAAGGAAAACATCAAAAGGTTGAAAGTTACGGGAAGCGTAGGCTAGACCTTCCTGCAAAAGCCCGGCATACGGTGTGGGTCTTGAGTCTGCGGCTAGGATCCGGGGAAGGGATCTGCAGGCAGCTGAGCAGCCTGAGGACATGGGGAAACACGGATATCTACAGTGTGATTTGTAACAGTAACAAAACTACAGCAATGAGGTATCGATAAAGGTCATTACACGGGGCCACCACAACACGAGGAACTGTATTAAAGGTCACAGTGTAGGATCAGGAAGGTCGAGGACCACTGTGTTGGAAGAAGCCCACTGTGAATGCCGAGGACCCGGCACCCTTGGCCTGATCACTGGTGTTGTGATCTGTTCCCAAGGTGCTCAGAAGAGACAGAAAGTAGTTGAAGTCCAGGAACTCTTGTAGAAAGAGGTATCGGGACAGGGGCTGGGGAGGGCCAGGTAGCACGCAGATGCATGCACAAATGTCTGCCCGCTTATGCTAGTTTCCCCGGAGCACTCACTGAAGCACACCACGGGATTTACCGAGAGGAACCGAGAGAAAGGCAAGGCCGGTAAGCAATAGGCCAGACAGGGGGGAAGGAGAGTGTGGGAAAAGAATCTCGGTTCGCTTGCAAGGCCTGGTTTATGGCTGTTACCATGGTAAGCGTCATTTCCACTTTCGGAAGTGCCCTGCTTTGGGTGGTAACTGTGTGGGGTGCAGTGGCGCGTCATACCTCCTAGCTTGGCCGTAGAGCCACAAGCGGGAGAGGCGTGCCAGCGAAGGCCTGAGTTAGAGGAGGCAGTCAGAGACCATGGGGCCGGCTAAGTTTAAAGTCCCAGATGTGACAAGAGCATCACTTGAGTGGCGCTAATGGGAGACAGACGCTGTCTGGATGTCTCAAGAAGATGGCAGGGCCAGGATGAAGGGAAACCGTGATGAGAACCCAGGAAAGCCTCTGACCGACCTAGGAGAGGGCAGAGGCCCAGCCTGACGCTCGGAACGAAACGTGCTCCACCTTCCCCAACCAAAGCTGTCTGTGCCCTGCTCTGTGACAGAGTGAAGAGAATGCTTTGCCTCTGGAGCATCTCACGTTTCTGAGAGATGGGTTTCCTTCACCCTTTCGTGGATGAGGATGCAGGCCCAGAGGCATTTACTAACTTGTCAGTTCCCCACAAATAATGACTACCCTGGTCCACTTCAAAGTCCACACCACTGATCAGTGTATTAGTTTGAGTCTCCAAAGTGCAGCCCACAACAGTGTGTGTGTGTGTGTGTGTGTGTGTGCTTACGTGTGTCTTTGCATAGTACCGTACAGACAGAACATATTCCGTGCTTGGCAATGCTCCACATGCTTTATGTGAAACCCGTCAACAGCCCTACAGTGTAGTACAGCCTTTCACAACAGCTAGTTCTAGGGGAGCTGGAGCAAGGGATGAGGAACTCTTCAAGCCACCCAGCTCCAGAGCCCACTCTTGTAACAAGTGAAGCTGACAGCTTCTCGGTTCATCAACCAAGATACATGCATGTCTGTAAACACAGTGATGTGGTTACTTCCCGTGAATTCTTTTGCTCACAATGTTCAGAATGCTCTTCAAGTTCCGAATTAACTCCATGTTAGCGTGCTGCCTTGTGGGTCACTAAAGAGGTGAGGTCCCGGGGAAGGCCTGTTCTGTGCCACAGCAACCAGGAAAGCGGAGAATATATGTGAAGTGTTCTACTGTGCAGCCAAATGTCTGCAGAGTTGTTGGGGGAGAAGAAAGAACTCTGGGACTACAGGCAACTGGGATAAATATTGCTTTTTTTAAAAAGAAAGAAAAAGACAGAATGACAAAAAAGAGCTGAAGGGAATGATATAAAGTTACAAGAGTGTGCATTCTTTTCTTTTCCCAAGGAATTTCTTTTCTTGCTTGCCTATGTGGGTGTTTGGATGTGTGTGGACACAGGTACATGCCTATGTGTGTACACACGTCATTCATGCTGAGGCCCAAAGTCTACATCACACGCCTTCCTCCTTTTTTCTTCCACTTTTGCTTAATGAGGCAGGGTCTCTCGCTTGAGCCCAGAACTCACAAATTAGCTAGTCTAGCCAGCCGGCTTGGCCTGGAGAGCCCATGTCTCTGCCTCTCTAGGGATGAGGGTGAGGACGTTGGATGCACATGGTAGACCCCACAGGGTTATTGCTCCCACGGATCATAAAGGGAGCTGCGGCCAACTTGGAATTCAAGCGAGGGATGAAATGTGTTCTGTTTCAGACCTGCACACCTACCCCAGTGCAACGTGCACCCTACAAGGGAGAAGTCTTCACACTGAAATCCAGAGAGACGGAAGAGGATGACGGAGCAGGGACCAGGGTGCAAGGCCACTCTTAATCCAGGTGCAAAGTAAGTGTTCCAGCATGAGTACCAACAGACGAATACCTGATGGGGGAGGTCCTTCCGTATGCTGTGAATATGAGTCTCCCTTATTGGCTGATGAGTAAAGCTGTTTTGGCCAATGGACAGGCAAGATGCAGCCAGGCAGGAAATCCAAACAGGGATAGAGAAAGGTTGTAGGCGAGTCAGGGAGACACCATGTAGCTGCTGAGGAAGAAAGAGGTCTGGGTATCACCGGGAGATACCATGTGGAGATACACAGATTAATAGAAACAAGCTACTAATTAAGAGAGAGCTAGCCAATAAGAAGCCTGAGCCATCAGTCAAGCAGTTTATAATTACTGTAAGCCTCTGTGTGTTTATTTGGGACTGAACAGCTGTAGGACCCGGCAGGACAGAAACTTCTGTCTACAGTTACCAGCCCATAAACATAAATTAGTATCTTTCTTCCTGGACCCAGTGTGAAGCTTCCTAGAGCTTAAAACTGGAGGGAACACTGATAAAGGTCTTGATGATGTAGAACGTTAGATGTGCATTTTGATCGACAGACCTTGAGCCAGCTAGAGATTCATTCTCTAGAACGTTAGGGAATATTCCAGAGGAGACCCCAGAGGATCTTCTCTGAGTACAAAGCGATTGGCTAGCTGCAGGCAGAGAGCCCTGCCAAGAGAGCAGTATATATGCTTCATGGTCAACATTTACAGACCAACTAGCACTTGATGTGGGGGGGGGGGGAATGAATCTTAGTATTGTAAATGAAGTGATAGGCTGTGATTTAGAATGCATAAAAAATGAATAAAATTGAGGAAATCAAGGGAAGTTACATAACTTTTTTTGGCATGGGAAGTTTTATTGAAAGAAAGGGAATGGGAAAAGGGGGCAGGTCTCCAGGGACAGGAGGGGTGGAAGGGAAGAGAGAGGCAGAGAAGAGACAGACAGAAAGACAGACAGACAGGCAGGCAGACAGACAGACACACACACACACACACACACACACACACACACACACACACGCCTGCCTTTTCAGAGGAGCAGTGCGGGAGAGAAGAGCGAAAGTTACACAACTTTTTGAGAAACAGTTTCCTGGTTGTGTCTGACACTCAGTTTCTGGGGGGGGGGGGTTGTAGCCATCACTAGGCAAAGACATCTATGGTGGGTCTGTCCTGCGCTGCCTTTGGGCATGCAGATCTTTTATGTTTTGAAATCCCTATTTCCATCCCCCCCAGTCTCTTTTCCCTCCCCTGTTTTCTGTTCCCACTCCATCAAGTCTCCACTAAAGGACAGCGCTACAGCGTTAGTGACTCTGTGATGTCACTTCCACTGACTTTAGTAAAATGTCCATTTCCCCCCTTTTGGTGGCTTTACCAGATTCGGATGATTTGTTTAAGCTGTGACGTGTTTCAACACGTAGAAATCTGGGACGACCTACACTAGCCAGCACGTTCAGCTCACAGGTCATGGGACAGCCATTAGTACAGCCCAACACATGATTATAAACAAGCTTAAAACGTCTTGAGATGCTTTTTGTGTGTGTGTGTGGCTGTTTTCTTGGTAACTTAATGGTGTGGCTCTCGGCGTAAACCGTAAATGACAAATGTCACAGGGGCAATGCCAAAGGGTCAGGCACTGCTGCTGGAAGTTGACCCAATCGATGGAGGTATAGGTGTGTGTCAGCTGGAGCACTGCTGAGCGAAAGGTCCGTCTTTTCGCACGCACGCATTCACGTCTGACAACCCGTGCTCCCCTGCTTCAGCCTCGTGACAGCGGGGATTTGGATAATGGGCCCTGGGACACTGCAGGCCCGCCTCCCTCATGCCGAGCGCTCTCCCATTGTTGGGCATTGTCATTTTTAACAACACCAGCCCCCAGGCTTCAGGATTGCTGTCATTCCCACCTTACTGGAATTATCCTCATGATGCAGAAAGATTATGTTTAAGACTCCGGAGATTAGCGAGAGAAAGGAACAGGGCCGGGTGTGATCATGTGTTCCTTACAGCTTTTGTAGGAACAGGCTTAGTGTTTACTTTGATTAGAACATTTCTTGGTGTTAGCTTGAATTCAGTCTCTCTTTGCGAGGGAGAATGCCACACCGAGTGCCTTTTATTCTCTTCAAAGGTGAAGTACAGCAAAGGCCCCCTCCCTGCCACGCTGTCAACCCCTGGAGAAGAGCCTGTTATTTCAACTCCCCAAGATCCTTCAGGAAAAATAATCGCCCTGGGCCTCTTTGATGTTTCTCTCAGAAGCAATAGCTGTCTGCCTCACTGTGCCTTTGTAGCTGTGGAAGATTGAAGATATAAATGAATGTTCTTGGGGGTGGGAAGTCTGCGTGAAGATTCATTGAGGACTCTTCAAATGTCATCCTGCCTTACACTAGGCTTCTTTCTTTGGGTTTTTAAAGATGACTTTCTTGTGTAAAGGGCTTGTTGCTCTGTTTTAATGGCTGCCTTGGTTTGAAATAGCACTGCGATTGTGTATTTGATTACAAATAATAAACACTGGGAGCTTCATTTGGTATTCTGGTTTCTGAGTTCCATGTGTCACCTTCTACCTAGTGGGTGGGACAAGGACCTGGGGAATGAGTTCTGACAAGAGAATGTGATTTCTTGAGTTGTCAGTGGCTCCTATGAGTCAAGACCCTGGACGGGTCCCAGGAAATCAAACCAGGTGTTCAACCGTTAAATGAGTCTGAGGCGAACTATCCCATCAAATCACATTGATGGATTCAGGACTTGAGGGGATTAAACGGAATTGGAATCATCTGGAGATATGTTGATCTGTTCCTCCCAAGCCCCTCCTGTGTCTTGGTCCCTTTATGCATGAGGGTTGGGCTTCCCTTTCTTCTGAGCAAATAGGCCAAGCGGGATGCCTTCGGATATGCCCATACTCCGACACACACTAGCCGCGAGAGGGTGTGTTTGCACCTTTAACGGAGTTTGTTCTGAGCATACAAAAGAGAGAATGATAAGATGTACCCAAAGAGAAGTCTTCCAGCTCAGTTAAACTGTAAATCCTTTATTCTCAGGTTAAAAGATGCCACAAAACCTTTTTTTTTTTTTTCCTGTGCTCTGCTTGACAAAGGCAACTCTCCAGTAGAATACAGGATCCTGTGCCGGGGAATAAGTCACTTGCTTTCTTACCCAGGAGTCAGTCCCCTAGAATCATATAACGCTCACTGGAAATGCCACCTTCTCCCAGAGGCTTTCCAAAGTAGGTTAGATCCATCTTTTATGCAGCTCCTTGTTGGGGCCCAACATGTACCCCATCGTGGCACCCTGTCTCATGCAAGGGTGCACCGCTGACCACGCCCGGTCTCTCCCTACATCCCTGTATCTGCAGGCTCTATGCCCAGGTGTTCAACCAATGGATTTCATTGCTTGTCGTGATTCTCCAAACAATATGGCATCTCAATCTCTACATAGCATCCGCTTTCACATTAGGAGGTCAAAGTGATCAAGGGATGGGTTCCAGGATAAGGGAGGGTGAGCACACGTAGGTCAACGTGACGTCATTTTGTACAAGTCATGCCGGCATCCTCAGATTCGGGCATCCACACCGTCCTGAAGCCAACTCCCCATGCCTACTCACCGAGGGGCCACTATTGCTGCTTTCTTCACTTCCCTGTCCCCCCCAGAAGCTACAGGGTGGGTCTTGTCTGGTTCTCCGACCACTCCCCCCGTACCCAGCATAGTGCGTGGTCAGTGACCGGGTCATCAGTGGAAGCTTTTGAATTTCTAAATAAAAGAGGATGTGGAAGAATTCCTGCTAAGTTCTTCAGTTGACACAGGTGGAGTTAGAGAGCCTTAATGCCACAGAAACAAACTCTGCGGTCACTCCTGCACAGCTCCCCAGCAGAAACCGATTCCACTCCAGCAAAGAGGTTGGAAACGCACAGGGCATTCCTTTGTGTTTTACATATTGTGAGACCAAGCTCCTTTTCCTTGTGAAGTTGAATCGATTTTCCCCAAACCTCAGTTTCTTCATCTGCAAAACAAAAACAAAACAAAACAAGAATTTGCCCTCCCCGAAGGGCGTCCTGAGGCCTGTGATACCCAAGCCCTGCATAGCTGGCAAATGCTAGCTCCCATTGTTCCCGATGTACTGAGTCAATGCAGATGTACTGTCCAGAAAAAGCCTCGGCTGTTGTGTTCTTTCCTTCAAGTTCACCACATTTGGGAGTTACCAACCCATTAGTGGTGGCAGAAGAGTGGGAGTCACAAAAAGGAGAGTGACACAAGTCTAGGCTCAAGGAGAGGGCGTGACGGCCAGGATGTGGGCGCGCGAGGAGCAGTCTGAGCAGAGATAAATTTGGAAGCATGGGAATAGTTAGTTGATCAGCACCGGATTTTTGACCCTCTCCGTTTCCGACCTGGGCCGGTTCACCCCTCCTTAGGCAACCTGGTTGTCCCCCACTCCCGGGAGGTCACCATATTGATGCTAAACTTAGTGCGGACACCAGATTGGCATAGCGCGCTACAGCCCGGGACTCTTGGACCCCTGCGATCCTCCTAGTAGCTGGGACTACAGGCGTGCGCCACCGCGCCGGGTGCATGGGGATAGTTGGAACACAGAGGCAGCGCATCCTAGCAGGAGCTCTTCTCCTTGTGTGGGAGAAGGCGGCCCTGTGGACTTGTTGCCAAAGCTGCACTGGAAACGCAAGACGCGTAAACCTCTTAAGCTTCGGTTCTTCTATTGATGAAATGGAAATTCAGTAGCTGAGACTGTTGTCTATGCAAGGATGGTTGAAGACTAAGATACTATCCTATGTATGACGCCCACGACTCTGTCGGTGTCCGTCCAGAGATGTTCCCCTCCCTGTGCTCCCTCCACACGGCTTTCCCATTCTACCCAACGCTCAGTGCCAAAGAAGGCACACGATATAATAATTAGATTTCCTTGTGTCTGGAAGACGTCAGTGGGCAAGTCCTTTAAGCCAAGCAACAATGCTGTCATCTACTAAGCACCCACCGTTTGTAGAGCACCGAACTGGACCCTTCCTTTTGGTGGCCGGGGCCCCAGGCAAGCTGCAGAGAGGCACAGGAAGGAGCTCAGGAAAGCCAGGTTGAGGACAGATGACAGGCAGTGAAAGAGGGGGAGAGCGTTGTGGTGCTCACATAATGAAAAGTGACTCAACAGCATTGTGCGCATGGTCCAGGCTGTATCTGTTTTAAGAACCATCCATGGTGAGTCGGTAGAGTTTGTAAAAAATGGGAGTCCTATGGGGACTGGTCCTTGGGACTCGAGACAAGCATGGTTGTATAAAAGCCGGAGGGGTAGGGAAGATTGACTGAACTTTTTCAAATTGTGTTTTGGTTTGTTTGGTTGTTTGGTTGCTTTTTGGCTTTTGGGCTTTTTGTCTTATAATGGGATATAGTTTCCACAAGAACACAGGACCTCTGGGGTTTTCCTTAATGAAGCAAATGTGCTCAATAGATCCTAAATGACACCGCCGATTAGGCCTTCATTATGTGCCACACCAGGACTAAGCTCTGTGGACTCTGTCGCCTAATTCTGTCTACAAGCTCATGAGATAGCGTTGTTCTTTGTTAACAAATGATGAGCCAAGACTCAGGGTTTAACAATTGCCCAAAATGTGTGACTGATGCCCATTTGGTTGGCAGATGACTCAAGATGTAAAATAACTGTTCTAGTGTATTCCTTAGTCAAGAGTTTCTCCATCCCGAATACATCACACACACACACACACACACACACACACACACACACACATACACACACAGAGACACACACACATACACACACACATACACACACACACAGACACACACACAGACACACACACACAGACACACACACATACACACACAGACACACACACACAGACACACACACACAGACACACACACACAGACACATACACACACAGACACACACACACACAGACACACAGACACACACACACAGACACACACAGACACACACACAGACACACACACACAGACACACACACAGACACACACACAGACACACACACACACACAGACACACACACACACACACACACACAAGCCCATGATCTCAGAGAGGAAAGAGATTATCTATTCAATACTGAAAACAGCCGGGCATTGGTGGCACACGCCTTTAATCCCAGCACTCAGGAGGCAGAGGCAGGCGGATCTCTGTGAGTTCGAGGCCATCCTGGTCTACCAAGCGAGTTCCAGGACAGCCTCCAAAACCATACAGAGAAACCCTGTCTCGAAAAACCAAAAAAAAAAAAAATACTGATAACTACAGAGAACACTGTAGAACATGACCACGACAATGGCTTTAGGGTCCAACAGCCAGCATCGAGCGGCAGGGACCATGACCAAGGAACTGAGTCACAGTAGAAATGGACGCAGCAGTAGAATATTGGGGCGTGGTGATGCAGAAGAGAACACACACCAAGCAGCTAGCACAGAGCTGGAAGGGAGTGAGCACCTGGCAAGTTATCCAGCCTGTGACCTTTTCCCCGTGTCACTGCAGAGCCCTGGGAAGGGACTGGAGGAAAGCAAGTCTCTGCACACTGGGCTCGTTACCCAGCCAGCTTCCCACTAGACCTTTCTCAGATTCGACTTTCGTGATGCACCCTGCTCCCTCAGCCCGCCTCATCCCTGTTCACTGCAGACAAGTGAGTTAGGGGTTCCTCAGGCTCCTAGCCTCCACCTCCCCACGCGCTGCCTTCTTTTCTTAGATGGTTTTCAGTACTCCATGAGGCTTCACACCTTGGGGCCAATCTCACCCTGATGGGAGACGCCATTCTGTAACTCTGTCTCTTATTGGTTGTTGAATAAAGCACTGTTGGCCAATAGGGAAGTAAGTTAGGTGGGACTAGGAGTCGAGCAGGATTCTGGGAAGGAGAAACGCAGGGAGTCACCATGTAGCTGCCATAGGGGTAAGAAGTCCGGACCCTTTTCTCCGGTAAGAGAAATACTTAAATTAACAATTATGGAGTAAATACTTAAGTCAGAGCTAGCCAGTAAGAAACAAGTAAGTCCAACAGCTTCATAATTAACATAGTCTCCTGTGTGTTCATTTGGGACTGATGCGGCTCTGGAACCAGGCTGGTGGGAAGGCGTCCCTCTACATCACCCTAAATGAAACTCTCTCGTCTTGGGAACACACAAGCACACACATCCTCTCTGATCAACAGTCACTGCTCTGCACAGGTCTGTGGAGATGAGAGCGATTTCCAGCATGGTAGGAAGATAGGAACCCAAGCTTGCAGGAGCTCGCAGTAAGAAGAACATTGCCATAGAGGCATCCGGGGATGCCTGGCTGGGCTCCTGGGGCTGCAGTGGGCAACTCTGCTTGTAGGGCTGGGGCTTCAGGGCCCATCCTGAGATGGGGGAAGCGTCCTAGGATAGTCATGTTGCTTTGTTTCATCTTGTTTGTTGGCAATCGTCTTAGTTAGGGTTTTTATAGCTATGAAAGGACACCATGACCATGCCAACTCTTCTAAAGGAAAACATTTAATTGGGGTGGCTTACTTACAGTTCAGAGGTTCAGTCCTTCATTGTCATGGTGGGACATGGCGTTGTGCAGGCAGCCATGGTGCTGGAGAAGGAGCTGAGAGTCCTATATCTTGCAGGCAACAGAAGTAGTCTGTCACATGGAGTGAGGTTTGACCAACAGAGACCTCAAAGCCCACCCTTTCTCCAACAAGGCCACACCCACTTCAACAAGGCCACACCCCCTAGTAGTGCCACTCCCTTTGGGGGCCATTTTCTTTCAAACCTCCCCAGCAACAAAGGACGAACGAAGAAGCTTTCATCTTCTAGAATCCTAGAATATGCAATTATGTTCCTGGACCTGAAGGCTCAGGAAAGAGAAAGAAATGTCTTGGCGTTTCTGCTCACTGAAATGTTTTTGGTGGGTGCTGGCTGACCTGTTAACAAGAAAGGATTCGTGGGAAGTGATGGTGACTCAGAGAATCAGCCACAGGGGGCAGTGCCTCCTGCAATAAGAATATGCAGCATGGGGCTGGAGACACGGCTCAGCAGGGAAGAGCACTGACTTGTCTTCCAGAGGACCCGGGTTCAATTCCCAGCAACCACATAGCAGCTCACAGATGTCTGTGACTCCAGTCCCAGAGAACCTGACACCCGTGGCGAAACACCAATGCACATAAAATAAAAATAAATAAAATTAAAAAAAAGAATATACAGCACGGGCGAGGTGACCGTTTGGAGAAGACTCGGTATCCACACATCCATGCAGCCTGGGGAACGTCACTTACCTTCTCTGAACCTCAGTTTCTCCATCTATGAACTGGAGACCCTAAGAGTTTCTCTGCTTCCTTGACTGCACTGCTAAAGAAACCCAAAGAGATGACATTTGTGAACAAAGCAAGAAGAGTATACTGAGTGTGAAGGCGGGATTTAAGTTTAAATGAGTTCACCAAACCCAAGATAAAGATAAATGGGTGTTTCATTGGGGAACAACTTACACAGATAGGAGTAAATAACCTCTGTGGCCTTCCTGCTCCGGAAGATACAGTCTCTGCCCTTCCGATGCTCTCAGTGACCCAAGAGAGAACATGCCCAGAGCTCCTCTCCCTTAAAGAGGGTTAAGTCTGCCTGAAACCACACCCAAAAGGGTGTGGCCACTACGGACAAGTTCACTGGCAAGGCGAGATGCCACTACATGAATTCACCATAAGGACAACACGAGTGTCACCCTCAGTCAGTGACTCTGGAAATCAATAATAAAAGAAAAGACATAGACTGAGGGCAATTAAAAAGCAGTGTGGGGGAGCGGGGGCTAAAAATAGAGGAGTGAGCTCACAGTCACACGAGGAGAGCGCCAAGCCCTGGAGAGAAAAACCGTGGGCAAAAAGGGAAGGTTAGCTGTGGATTCCGGAAGTGGAGGTGTCTGCCCGCCCCTCGGGAGGAAGCAGCAGTGGGAGCTTTGATCTATCGGTGCACAGAAGCTTGGGGCTGGGGTGAGAGCTCATGACTCGGCAGTTTCTGAGTCACGATGCTCTCCACACGGAGGGTCACATGCCCAAGCCAGAGCCGGATGCAAGCATAGAGAGGCTGAGCACAGAAACGAAAAGGGGAAGGGGCTGCACGCGGGAGGAGCAGCAGGGGAGGCAGCTGGGCGTCATCGGTGATGTCTATGGGACAAGGCTATGCAGACGAGGCTGACTACAAGGGACCTGGGCTGGGGGCTAAGGCCAAGGTGACGGCGGAGTCTGTTAGCTAGGAAGGAAGCCTAGAAGAGACTATGCAGGAGCAGAGTCATCAGGCCAGGGGAGCCCGCATCTCTGGAGTAAGACGCCCTCTGGTCAGGACGGCAGGCTCCTCCTCTGTAGCCTTTGTGCCCGGGGCTGTCCCACAGAAGTCAGGACTGTCACATAGACAACATTCTTGGTCACGTCGGAGTGACCTGACAGATGAGCATGAACAAATTGAAAATGCCCAGCAAACCAGGCCTGGTGAGACAGGTCTGAGACCCTGGTTATTCAGGAGGCTGAAGCAGGAGGATTGTAACTTACTGAACTCTGTCTCTAAATAAAAATATAAGGCTGTGGGCTGGGAAAAAGTAGCTCAGGGGAATAATGCTTGCCTAGTATGTGCCAAGCCTTAGTTAGGTTCAACCATAATATTACAAAGAGAAATAAATTCACATTTTAAAAATGACCAGACAGGCTCCAAATGTGAACCTTTTTGTGGCTTTGGCAGTGATTATCTTTCTGGTACCAGATAGTTAACACGGGACACTTCTCTGTCCCTCTTGGCAACTATGGGCCATCAGTCTTGTTCTACGTTTTGTAGAAACAGCCCTCACCTTAAATTTGTGTGACCATGGCCCTGGGGCACACAGGGTTGGGTCACTCCAAACCCCATGCCCCCCCTCCTCTCTCTCTCTCTCTCTCTCTCTCTCTCTCTCTCTCTCTCTCTCTCTCTCTCTCTCTCTCTCTCTCTCTTTCTCTCTCTCTCCCCCAGTGTTAAGATTGAAGGATTATGCCATCATGTCCTACCTCACCCCTTTCCTTCTCTTTATATCATGCAAGGCTTAGAATTGCCACGCTCCAGTTAGTGGCTTGTTTCCATGGCAATCTGTTTCTGCATTTCGCCATTCTCGAGCCGCCAAGAGCGCTGTGCCTGATTCCCACTTCCAAGCCCGGCAGCCACCAGCCGTATTTACATCCTGTCCTGACACAGAGTGTCTTGAAAGGGAACAGTGTCTTCTCAAATAGTTAATTTAAAAAGATACATTTTAAAGACATTAAGGCATGCTCTTTAAAAGTGTAGACATAAAGAATTTCTTCATACCCGCCAGTCAAGGAACAACCTTTCTTGTCAGTCATTTTCGCTGACTCGTTCAAATCTGTTTGCTCCAGCGTATAAAATGTGGTGGTTGAAGGAGAATGGCCCCCACAGACGCATGTGTTTGGATGGCTGGTCCCCAGTGGCTAGAACTCTTTGGAAAGATTTAGGAGGAGGTGTGCTCCTTCTGGAGCAGGTGTAGCATTGTTGGAGGAAGCGTGTCACTAGGGTAGGCTCTGAGGTTTCCAGTTAGCTCCTCCCCGCCCCCTTACCCCCCCCCCGCCCACTGCCTCATGGTTGTCTCAATGTTATAACCTCTCATCTATTGCTCCAGTACCTGTTTGCCTGTCTGTCTGCTTGCTTGTCTGTCTGCCTGTCTGCCTGCCAGCCTCTCTGCCCGTCTGCCCATCTGCCTGCTACCACATTGCACACTATGGTGATAATGGACTAACTCAAGAAGCTATACGCAAGCCTCCAATTAAATTCTTTCTTGTATAAGTTGCCTTTGTCCTGGTGTTTCTTCCCAGCAAAGAACAGTAATTAAGGACTGAAAAGATAACCATCGAAAGGGTCTCCAGGAGACCCTAGGCTCCAAACACAATGTCCGGCTCTCAGAGTTTCTTGACACCTTCCTTGGTGATCAGACCTCGGTAGTGTCCCCATCCTTAGTGGGGACTTGATTTCCTTCTTGTGTGACGAGCACTCCTCTAACTGCTGAGCAGTATTTCCAGCCTGTCTCTGTGTTTTCCGAGTGCCTTGGCAGCGTTCTTACTCCGCTATGGTGAGGCTGAATCTGCATACCCAATGTTATTCATACTATTGTTCTCCTGGGTTGGTTCCGGACCTTGGTGGGCACTGGTTTTCATTTGTTTTGTTCTGGGATTTTTAAGCTTTAAAATTGCAAGAGTTTTAAGAGATGCTTGGATGGGAGCCCACAAACGCTGGTTGACAATCAACTTGCCTCTTCAGAATGAATTTCCGTATTTTCTAGCAGAATTGTGTGCCATTTACCCTTGGCAGTCGCTGTAGATGGATGACCTTGTGCTCACAGTCTATGCCCCCGAGAAGCTAGGTTGGGCCACCTGGATGAATTCTATTCCTCACAAAGCTGTGTTCAAAAACCTTATCCCCAGCTCCTTAAATGTAGTTGGCCCTTTCTGTTCACAGGTTCCGGCTCTTTGAATTACGCAGCATTCTCACGGTATCTCTAAGTAGTCTAGGGATAATTCACAGTGTCAGGGAGGACTCATACAGGTTAAGTGCAGATGATGTGTCATTTTACAGAGGGATTTAATAGGATGTTTGATACAGAATGAAGACTATCACATAAAACTGAGCAAAAAATCGAAATCACAGTGCTATAAACATAGAATGGCAAAGATTTCTGGCTCCCACTGGAAGTTGGAGGAGATAGGGAAAGAAGTTCCTAGAGATTCTAGCATCTAGAGATTCTGAAGATACAGCTCCGCTGACATCTTGGCTTGAGCTTTTAGACCTCAAATTTACGAGGGCGTAGTTAGGCCATTCAGTGTCTGGTTCCTGGTTACAGCAGACCAAGGAAGAGCACACACACAAGCCAGTCAGACACCAGATAAGCTGAGAGGTGTGAATTCTCCAGAACCACCTACTTTCAAAGTTCAAGGCTCCCCAAGACAAATGGGAGTGTGGTCAAGGTGCTTTTGTACTTCTGGATGAGAAAAAAAGAATAGGCATTTTTTTTCAGTCCCCAACACTGATAGAATTGGCCGTAATACACTCCACACAGTAGTTTAGAAACTGCCTGAATGTCTGCAGCACCTCTGGGGGGGATTGAATGCCCCACATCCTGATGTGGGGACAACTTGAGAGTCAACCTGATCCTGCTGTCAACCTCTGCCCCTCCCCCCATGACTTGAGGTTGCCTTACAAGGGCAGTAGTAGGCAATTTGGGGGTTGCATGCATGCACATATATTCATTGCAAATTCTCCTCCAGGGAAAAGCCCTGAACAGAAGGCTTCTAAATTGTTTTCTGTTTTGTTTATGGAGAAAAGGCTGGGAGGGTTGGGAAGCTGTAGCGGAGACGGGAACAGATTGTAGCAGTCTGCCAGGGGTGATGACAGTTGCTAACAGCCGATCCTGAGGGAAGGGGACTGGAGGATTGCTTGGGAGACGCACTGATTGGGGTTTAGACACGGCAGAGCTACAGACAAGCCTGGCTTCTAGTCTGAGAAAGTCGAAAAGATCTGGATCACCAACTGCCGTCGGGAGGGAGCTGGTCTCTAAGATGAAGGGTGAGAAAGATCTGGACAAGGATGAGGCTCTTCTTGGCCCACAGGCTGACAGAGATTGGTAAAAAGTCTCCAGGTCATTGCCACGGAAGCAAATTAATATGACGTTCCATAGCTAACCAACAGCCGGACAAAAATCGGAATCCAGGACTCCTGTTAGAGACGGACGCCCTTTCCAAATCAGAAGTCAAGAACGAGTGAAAATAGACAGTTATAACCCAAAACGTCCAGATGTTGTGGAGTCCCATTTTTTAGCTGATTAACATACAAGATCCCCTAAGAGCAGTCGAGCAAAATTCATGAACTAAAGTTCATGGTTTGGGCTCCACTCTATTTTAAAAAACACATTCAAATCCAATTTTATTTCTAACGTTAACGATTAGATGAGTTCCCATAGTAATCTGGGTCTCTGGCTGCTCTGGGAAAAGTCAGTTGCTCAGTGGGAAACAGAGTTAAGAGTTTCCCTCACCCTGCAGCTGAGGTACAAGTGGGCTGTCCTCACACATCTACCTGCCTGGCGTGGTTAACTTACACCACCTACCTGGCCTGTGTACTTTGCAACCCCTGGCACCGGGAAAGAGAAACGGACTCTCAGAGCCCTGGGCTGACTGTTGGTACTTCTTGTCACGGAAGTGAATGGAGGGAAGCGGGCAGGAGAACCCAGAGCAGGAAGGAACAGCCAAGCCAAGGTCACAGAAGCAAAAGGCCTTGTCCAAAACCCACGGACAGAAGTTTCATCTATTTCTGGATGAAAGAACAGGATGTGGGAACCAGAACTGTGGTCAGCTCTCTTATGGCACAAACCAGCGGCGAGTGAGTTAGGCAAGCATCCTCCTTCTATTTTTAACGGATCTCAGAGCTGCGTCAGAGGACCTTGCTGCTGACTAATCTTGTTAACGCGTCTTTTTCTTGAATTGCATAAATGCCATCGACACAGGCTGAAGCACGCTGGAGAGAAAAACTAACGATGCAGGGCACGTTATAAATAGGGTATAAATGGGCGCCGAGTGTTCCGGGTCACGGCTCTTCCGAGGTTCTCCAGGATTTCGTGGTTGAGCCATGCAGACGTGAGATGCGAAGTCTTTGGTTTGCTGGAGCTGAATTAATGCCTGGTGTGTTTTTTTATTTGTGTTTGTTTGTTTATTTGTTTGCTTCCCTCGCTCCCCTTCATTCCAAAGTACAACAAGGGCTGCTTTTTCACACTATGTGAAAACATATGTGGATGTTTTTCAGCAAAACAACTTTTCAGTTGTATATCCTTGCACCGGGAGAAGGCACACTAATACACCATGATTCATAGGGCAGTGTGGGAGAGAGGTCCTGGGTTCAAATCCGGCTTCTGGAACAAGCCACTTAGCTTTTCTGTGCCTCATTCATAAAACTATAGTATACTCAGAAATCTGAAGAACTAATTCATTCAATGTGCCTGATACCCCAGTAAGGACGCTAGCAGATACTGTTTTCTGGGGAGGAGGGAGATATACTTGATTATACCACCTCACAACAGTTCCCGAGTAATAGATAATAAACAATAAACTCATTCTCTAAATTTTGAGAACAGCATTTTTTCCACATCAAGTGTTTTGAAAGAATGTATTTAATTTCCCCAATATATTAACGTGTCCATTTGTACACCACAGGGCACTTATTGCTTCGACATGAACACTTTTTTCCACAGGCTTTCCTTTTGAAAACCATTTTGATTGATCCCTTTCTCCTCTAATTGATATATCACATTTACAGCGGGTGCACCGCCCGCTGTGGAAAAATAGAGACTTTCAATTTTCAGGTCGTCAGCCACTGACATCACTGTATGAAATTACATGTGACATTTAGAATTGAATAACAGTTCTGAATGCCTCTGCGTCTGTTGAGAAAAATAACATTTCTTTTGACCCGGTGTTATCTTTTCCCTTCTTCAGCAAATAAATCACACTCGTGACCCGAGAGGGAGCTTCTGTTGTTCATTGACCAACTGTGAAAGCACAAAACCAATCAAATGCCAGGTCTCTCCAGGGCACTGCCGTGTCCCCAGAATCCTAGGCGTTAAGAGACAGCCACTTCCTCGGGGATTCTTGGGCTCAACTCTTTCAAAAGCTGATCTCTGAGAGGTGGTGTGTCTTCTAAAGTCATCCGGCCGATTGGTGACTAAAATGGTGTGTGTGTGGTGGGGGTGAGAACTTATCTGTGCATTTCTAGCTTAATGATGTCTCATGCATCATGTCCTGTGTCAACTCATGGTTGTGTCAAATTTCTTTCCACATTGTCAGGTGTTCAGTCAGCGACATCACGCAGGCTCAATGCAGCCTACGGCTTGTTCTCGCAATAGAGTGTCGCTGGAACC